GAAGAGGGTATTTAGGCTTTAAACAAGTGACGTATTGAGAGAGGCATGTTGGGAGTTCCAAAAGATATAGACGAGAACCTTAAATGTAAAATATATCGTCAGAAGTCGGATAAGATTATATTATATAATACATTGTTTTTAATGTGGAAAATATTTGTTTATTAATTCGGCAACAAGAGAAATTACTAAATACAAAAAATACTGAATCCATATCACAAATATCTTCACACTTTTATAGGGTATTTAGAGTACGACTGTGTTGGTCCTTTTTCCTCTTTTTTTTTTGCTATATGTTGAATAAGTTTTCTGGGAATGGGTCGACGAAAGTTACGCGAAACGCTTCCAGCTGATGAGTGACGTGTCAGTCAGACGGAGTGCAAAGGACAAGAGAGGGGTAGTGGGAGTGGCAGCGAAGTGCTCAAAGGAGTCGACGCGTGGCAGCTGAAACTACAATATGAGCAAAGAGAGTATTCGTACGTAAGATGAAAGTAAACGCAAAAAGCATTTTTTTTTTTGCGCCCAACATCGAAATTTATCGCTCGGCAGTGGGAAACAAGTGGGCGAAAAAAGAATAGCAATCCGCAAAGGCAAAAGGCAAAGAATTCATCATCATTGCTCATCATCATGTGGCGGCGACTCCGGAGGTGGCAAGCTGTCAAAGTAGGCATGGCAGTAACGCTCCCAGCGGTGTGATCCACCGTTGTGTTTGATGTGCCTACAAGAAAAAATATCCAAAAAAAAAGTAAAGCAACAAACTTGCAAACGACCGCAGTCCAGAGCAAAAAAAAAAACAGAAAACAATTCATAACTACACTAAACCGAAGTTTAAATACACTTACAGACTGAATTCAAGTTGTGCTAAGGTTAAGCTTAATTATTATTTTTAATAATAACTGTATTTGATATATGAGATACAATAGTTCGATGCTGATCATATTGAGAATGATATGCAGTATGAAACTATCAACTTGTAAATGTAGCTTTGGTCAACAAAATGCTCTTCATACAGAACTTAAAGTCGACTAGTTCCATCGACAGCTATATAGTACTATGTGATATAGTATACCGATCCGGTCAGTTGCAACATATGTAGTTCTTCACCAAAACTATAAAATTAGCTACGTGAAAACTGACTGAGCTAACTAAGTTTGTCTTTCTGATTATTATTAGTATTGTAAATAATCGTAATGTGTTCAGAGATATCTGATTCAATGCGTTGCACCCTTTGTGACAAAATCCAAATAGCCTTTCTGCAGGAATATCAGAAAAGATGTCGTTTATTATATTTCTTTGTCGCTGTCTCCTCGCTTCCTTTTTTTGTCTGCTGCTCTCCATGGCAAAGTTAATCCTTGGGCATCAATTTCCAGAAATAATTTGAGCAACATCAAAACTTTTAATACGACCAATGATAATGGTCCGTCTACTCCTCGTTTCCCAGTTTCATACCACCCTCTCCCATCCCCCGCAACGCCAACTACGACCTTGTCCCGCTGTGCGTTGTGTGAGTGGCAAAAAGTTTTTTTTTATTGCCCGGCTGTCGTAATTTCTTTATGCTGAGTTATGGGGCTCAAGTAGCGGACAACGTGGCAACCTTTTGGCCCTTAAAGCCTGCCCAACCTGTGGTCAGTTCTGGTCATTATGCTGTTTATTGAGTGCCACACCTGCCAGCGGGTGTCCTTCGAGGAGCCAGGAGCCAGCAGACAGCAGACAGAACGCAGGACTCTAGACTCTGATGCATTCAATGGCAAATTGGCGTCAAACAAAAGCTCTGCAGGAGTTTTGAGACTGTTTTTTTTTTTTTTGTTCTGGTTGGGTTTTGCTCTTTGGCAATCGGCTTTATATATATTAACAGTGAATTGTTATGGCATTAACCTTTTGCCTGCATCTCAATTGAATGGAACAGCAGAGCATATTTATTTATATTGTCTCCTCGAATTGTTGCTTGAGCTTCTTTGATCCGATCGAGTTAAAGTTTTTAATTTATTTGTTGTTATAAACATATAATTGGCTTTATAAGTTCTTCTAGAGTTTGTTATGTTTTGCAATTCTTAATTTATTAATTTATATAACAAGCTAAGTAAATTTATGTTAATCGTGCTTAAAATAAAATTAGAATCATAAAGTATAAATTATGGTTAATTGTATCGTAAAAAAGAAATTCAATTTGAAGCACAAATAAGTAATAAAATCAATAAGTAATCAAACATTGCTCAAAAATTGTGAAAACAGAGTTACCAAGTTCCAAATCAAACCCCCAACAAACTACTGCCTACAGAGAGGCATTCGAAAGAGGCAGCTAACTTGTTGCTACTCAGTCGGCTAAATACCGTTGCTCATTAGTTGGAATCATGCAAATAACTGGCAATTACACGAATGAAGCTTGCCTCATGATTGTTGTGTAATGTTGGGGACTGCCAGTTGTCAATAACTGAGAAATAATCGCATTTGTGAAGTGATCAATGCTGAACCGACGCAAACTGGCAATGCAGATGGCCAATGGAAATTAGAAGGACACTGAACGTTGCAATTAGGCGTTGCCAGGCAAGCAAGACAAACAACGAGGACAACAAGGACGACCTGGAGGACACTGTGCAGGTGGCGCCCCCACATGATGCAACTAAACTTCCAGCAGCCAACTAACCTTGTTTTTTTTTGCCAATTAAACGCATTCGCTAACAACAAAAAAAAACACACACACACAATTTTCCTGACGATGGAATAAAGTATGTTATTATACACTTAAAAAAAATGTATGACCTGAAATTAGAAAAATATTGATATATTACTTGCTTTTAAAATGAATTTTGAATTTAAAGTGTACCTTTTTTGTTCCTGTGCAAAGTTTTTGCCCTGGAGTTCATGTTTTTGCTCCGAGCGCCTCAGGGCGATGCCTATAATGGGGCATGCAACAATAAGCGCAGCGCCAGCAAAACAGGTGAGGCAGGCTACTCTGCTCAACGTTGAAACAAGTTTATCAACGTGTGAAAATTGCGAAGTGCAAAATGCGCAAACAACAACAGCAACAACAACAACAACAACTTTGGCTACAACATCCTGACGCAAGCATATTCAAATGCAAATCACGTCATCAATATGCAACGCACACACAAAGCCACACCCCATCGCTACCTCCCTCCCTCCCTCCCTCCCACATACCCTACAAAAGTGGGCACCCACAAGCCAACCGCAAGTATTGCTTCTGCTCGCTTCTGCTCCCTTCGCCTTCCGATTCGCATATCGAATGTTGCATTTTGACAAAATTATCCATGGACCAAGTTCAATTTTGTGGGTCATTGTGGGAAAAATTTGCTGTTGCTTCTCTGCTGCTCCTGCACCTGTTCCTGCCACTACTACTGCTACTGCTACTGCTGTGAAGCCAAAAGCCTTAACGATGGAAGCATTTTCTTTCTGCTTTTAAGTTACACGTGTCTGTTGTCACTGTCATTTATAGCAACTTCTAACGATGGACAGTTAAAACTTGTAGGATTTTAATTATAATGCAACCGTGCACAGTTTCTTCGACAAGGAGTACGCGAGGGTTGCTCGAGTAATTCCGAATTTCTTTTATATCAATTTATCATTGCAAAATTCCGCGTTATTATTTAGTATACATTATTTTAGATATGTCTTTCGCTGGCTGCAGGTCAAGTGCTTTTTTATATTTTATAATCCGATATTTTTCGAATATTTAATTTTAAAAAATATGTCAGCAATCAACAAACAATTTAAATTAAATTATAAAGTATTTATATATATATATAGTATATATCTTCATAAGGATTACTAAACTTATTTCTTTTCTTTGCCAAATATCATAATGAATCTGAAAAATATTGTCTAACTTCAAAAGCAATTTGAGAGCTGTAACCAATTACTTAAAAAGTTCGAAGATAGCTGAACTATAAAATGAATATTCCCTTCTATCGACGCAGATAGAAATAAATACATTTTAAAAGGTTATGTTAAGGGTTCGTTATTGTTTTCCAAAATAAACTATTTAAGCTATTATAAGGGAAAGTTCGGTCTGAATAGTTTCTGGCAAACCTCTGACTCTCCTCCCCCCTAGGTCATCTCAATTAAGTAGAAGCTGTGTGCTTGCATTTTATCAAAGGCAACGATAACGATGACACTTTGCCTGCCTGGCATCGATTTGAAGTCTCTTTTTTGTTTTTTTATGGCCAACCATCTCTGAAAACTCATCAAGCGCTCTCCACGCCCTTGCTCCGCTTCAAATCCACAGCTCGTCACGCTGCCCTGGCAACTGGCAGGAGGCGAAAAAATAAGTCACTCACTTAAAAGTTCAGCGGCGGCAACGCTTGCAAAAGTTTGCTCACTGCACCATATCCAGTGCTCCACATCAGCGTCCCAAGTACGGCATCCTGCACCCAGTGTCCCGTATCCTTCGTTCTGTGTTCATGTCCTGGACGGAGCTGGTCAGTTAGTTTCAATTTTTGTTTTTAGCTTTCAGTTTAAGCTGCTCTTCCTCGACTTCAACTCGTACAGATATATATATATATATATATATAAATTTGTTGGCTCTTTTTTTTGGTATTTTTTTGGCAGCTGGGTGGACACAGTGCACGCTGATTACATGTGACAAGTTAATGAGTTTGCGGCCAAACATGGCTTGTTAAGCAAATAAATTAATTAGCGCTCTAATTGAGTTTTCTTTTCCCATTTCCGTTTCCATTCACTACCCCTTTCAGTCTGCTCTTTGCTAGGGCTTGTAAATGATGAGCTCTGAAGCGGACGAAAACGCACTTCAAATAATTTCAAAGAAATTAACTTTAATTTACATATAAATTACTCGCTTTATATGTGTAAATATATATATATATATGCAATGCACTACAATGCAAAAATTGTAAATTCCAATCAGATTCACAATTCCACGAACAAAATTCTGTAATCATTTTAATTTGCCATAAGTAAGCCGGAAGCAAATGCGCATTAAAATGCATTTTAAATGGCAAAAGTTAAAAAAGTATATCATGAGTCAGTATCTGCTGCAAGTAGTCGACTTGCATATACCCTCTAGAGTTTTATTTAAACAAAAAAATGTTGCATAAATATGTCCGTCATAATCGAACAATTGACATGAATCGGGCAAAGGTTAATTTAATGTAAATATCAACAATTTCCTGAAATAAATTTTAGCTGTGTGTAATATTATTATGAAAGATAACATTTTTGTTAGTTTTAATTTCGTAAAATCAGTTTTTAAGCATAAGGATTTAATTTTAAAATGATTTTTATAGCACTAATATTGATAAATTGTTGATGACAAACAGAAAGCAGAAATCGAATATAAACATTTGTTAGGATTTAAGACTACATCATTTCACATTGGCCAAATTGCTAATAATCTTTTGATATATTTGTACTCCTTTCAGGTATGTATCGGCGCCAATCCACTCATCGTGGTCATGTAGTAAAACCGGAGTATTGTTCATGGGCGAGAAACCCAAGGCGGGTATGCCAGACTTGCGCAAAAAGCGACTGTCTGTGCCGCCAGTGAAGATCTGTGGTCGGATATCGAGACCTCTGCAATGGCAAAATCTGTAGTATATATTCCAAGTAATATTCCCTATCCAAAGTCCACTTACAACTCATCAGTGGCACTTTTGAAGGCCAGCCAGAAGGGATTGCTAGCATCTGTGGCAGTGGGTGGCACATACGGATGCTTTTGATCGAACTCCAGCTCAATACCCCCACCAGCCTCTGACATCCAGGTGTTTAACTTAAGGTAAAAATATTGCAGTATTTTTAAGAATTAAAAGTTGAATATTTCTTGCCACTCACTTGTGTGATGAACTCGTCATGATTCACATCGAGGGCAAGGCGACAATCGAAGCCAGCTGTCAGCTCTGGTGGCACCACATTGCTCTGCACTCCACCACCAATTCGGGTTAGATTTATTGTTGTCACATCACCAATCTTCAGCTCTGGATTGTTCTCAAGACGTGCCACTTGTTGCTTACGTAACTGCATCATTTTATCCAAAATATATTGGAACTTCTCGCCAGCTGTATTTGGCAACAGGAGCGATCCGTGTCCCGCAGTGCCCGATATCTTAAATGTTAGACCTATATGGGAGTGAATTTAAAATGCAATTCATTTTAATATTTCAAGCATGACTTTGGGTGCACTTACGCCACACACTCCGCTCGGCGTAGAACACGGGAAAATCAGCTGTTGGCGAAGCGAGTCCTTCATCTAATCCAAATCCCACATTAAGAGCACGAAACTCTTCAGTTTCCACAAAGGGACGCATGCCTCGGCGACCACCCATTTCCTCATCTGAAAATGAATTTACAAATTTGTAAATATTGGGCAGTCGAAGAGATAAATTGAACCACTATTGAATTATTTCTTTAATCAACCGCAGCATTTCAAGGTGATAAAAAGCCATCTGGGATCGGGTCAGATTATACTCCTCAAAGTGTGCTAAACATTCTACAATCATAACTCTGTCAAAAGTGATCCAACTATCAAAAACTATGCCAATATGATTTTGGTTGACTTCTTGATTAATACTGTATTTAAATTTGAAAACGTGTTTCAGTTTCAATTATCAAGTTAAAATTATACTGTAAAAAAGAGCTTCTATGTAAGATTACAAACTCTCCACTGCCATAATTTAGACAGATTTTGATCATAGTTTGGCTTCCTTCAGATTCTAAAATCATGTAAAAATTCTTAGCGAAAAATTGGAATACTTGAATTACCTGCCACAAAAGACATGTGTATGGTTCGCTTGAACCTGGCTCCACTGCGCTTGAGGGCTCTAATGGCCGCCAGATATTGCATTCCCACGGATTTCATGTCTTGCGTGCCTCGGGCAAAAATGCGACCCTCGGCGTCCATTTCAGCAGCAAAAGGTTCATGCGTCCAGCTGTCCTTGAAGACGGGCACCACATCCATATGAGAGTTGAGCAGAAGGGCGGGCAATTGAGGCTCCAGCCCCTGCCAGCTGATGACAGCCACAGGATTCGCAGCATCTAATGGATAATATACAGCTATAGGTAGTTCCAGCTGTGTGGCCTGTCGTCTTAGGAATTCCAAGCAGGGAGCTAAAGATTAAATGAGTAACAGAGCAGAATATTGAATACATTTCAAAATTGCTTACATTACAAAAGGCTGATTGAAAAGTTAGAAACAGATTATCATTTGATGAAGTCTGAGATATCTCTTAAAAATAACTTCTTAAATAGTTTAGCCCACCATAATTGGGATTGGGATGTACGCTGGGTATGCGCAGATATTCGCGAAAATATTGTATCTCCTCATTGGATTCCCACAGTTCAGAGTTCATTTTTTGTTTTATGGAACAATTCACCTCCGTTGTGTTGAACAGTTTAAGTGAAACTGCTCGGTTTGTGTGTGCTGACAGCCCTGCTAATCTAATCAGAGTGTACTTTCAGCGGTTCCAAGTCGTAGTCAAGATACTTGTGGAACAGCTGGGCGAATAGCATTCAGTTGAAGCGAAGCCGCAATGCAAACTGATTAATGTGGCGAGCAGTTTGACGGAAACAAATAATTGACTTTAATTTAAGCGCACAGCTGATAAAATGTTTATACACCACATCTACCGCTATATATAAATATATTATATCTACTTGAGATACAAGCTGCAAACCAGAACAGTTTAACTAAAATTTATTAAATTGCAAAACCAGTTCTTCAATGAAGCAACTTGAATAACAAACGAGTTTTAACTAACAATTAAGTCTTCAAATTTTTGTTGAGTGTATGCAATATGCAAATGACTACAAAATATAACTAATCACGACGCTGATAAGCCACTTATCTCTACTCACAGGCCAGTTCAGTATTCTTTTTGGTGATAAGCATTCTGTTTACAATTTACACTTGCAGCGCGATAAGATTTGCCATAGGGCATCAACCCTATAAAAACCTTTGAGACTCAACTGTAAAATCCGATAGAATAAGATAGAACATAACTAAATCTCTTAAATTGACTTATTTTCTTCAGCTTCAAACTTTGCTCAGCGTAAAACTAAAGATCGCAAAGATATATTTATTATTTGGCATCGTTTGCCAAATATATAAAATAATTAAAAATGTATTCCTGAATTTATGAATTCTCTGAAAAACAAATGAATGCACTCCTGAAGCAAGACTATAAACAATAAATTGCAGTCCAGTCGTTTAGCTGTAGTTCACTGAATTGATTTTGGTACAGAGTTGGGAATTTTGGGGTTGTAAGGATGTTTTGCCAAACAAAAGTTGTTGGCCAGTGCCAAGAGCAGATAAATTTATGTATATTTACAGACATTTTTAGCTGTTTTTGTTCGCTGCTGTTTTTGGCACTGGCACAACAAGTGCACATTATTAAGCGATAATTATTTGGACACTGGAGAAATGCAGCAAATTACTGCAATCTCAGAAACATTTTTGATAAGGAAAAAATCTTAAATAAAATAAATTATACCAAACTTAAATTGAATTAAGACTTAAGTTCTTCAAAAATATACTTAAATTATTTTTTAGCTTGTTGAGTTCCGTTTAAGTTTCAAAAACGAACGGCAGAATTTTGATTGAAAAATTAATTTGTAATTCAAATTTGTTTATTATATTTGATAATCAATACGGTCTCTGCCTTTTCGTAGCTTCCTTTTCAATCAATTTCTGTATCAATAGGTTGTTGCTTACTTTCCATATTTCCTTAACTCATCCTTATTAGCATTTCAAATCAATGAATAGAGGCAAGAAAATTTGCGACTTACACATTCGGAGCTCGAACATACTTTTTGGCATACTATTGAGCTGTTGGCCCCTTCAACATTTTGGCAAATTAATTTTGTCTCTACCAGGGCTTTGGATAGGGTACTTTAATACACTGTGAGAATAGCAAAGGGAAAATGTGAATGCGTGCCCAAGGACTGACCTAAGTCAAACAATTGACTTGGGGACTTTGTGGATATCAACAAAGCGAGCAATGAACCAAACAGGACCGTCCGTCTATTTATTTGCCAATTTGGAAAAGGCCAAAGCCGAAGCCAAAGCCAGAAACCGACTAAGAAGCAAATAAATATCTTATTTCACAAAAAAATTCAAAATAAAATGAAATGAAATTATTTTCTAAAGAAGATGCCCAGGAAGAGCAGGCAAATACCCGAAAATGTAACAAAATCCCATAAACACAACATGTCACAACACGAATACAACAACAACAACAACAGCAACAACAACAAATAACATAACATAAAGATTGCTCTTTCCCCTTTTATTTTCTTCCTTTTTCTCTCTCTCTCTATCTCACTCTAGCTGGCGCAACGCAGGGTTTGAAGCTAAAGAAAATAAGGAGAGATTCCTTTGAATTACGTCAGAATTTGAAAGGCAAGAAGTGAGCGAAGCAACATGAAATTTCTCTGCTTGGCGACAAAAAGGACATACACATACCTTTACATATATAGATATATATATACTATATATATATATATGCTGTAGTCGATGGCATTTTCAAATACATATTGAACTCCCCCGCCGCCTGGAGTGGATTTCCCAAATGATTTTGTCCATTTGCATTTGCATTTCAAATTCGTATCGAAGGCTTTTTGGTCTTTTCGAGCTTCACATTTAATTGGAAATTACAAAAAAGCCCTACAAGCTAATAAGACCGCATTTCAATGCCCTTTCCCCCAGCATTTGCTAACTAATTGTTCTAGCATATGCCGTAAAGTGGAATGGCCAGCAAAACTTGGCCAACATGTGTAATTGAAGAATCGTTAATGTAAAGTCCTCATCATTGTCATCATCATCATCATCATCATCGGCGTCGTCATTGTTGGCGTGCTTAGCCTCATTCACATCATTATTATCAGCATTGGAGCTGGGGCAACTTTTGTGTCGCCAGGCATTGGAAAATATTATTTGTTATTTTCGGCAACCAATCAAAACAGAAACCGCACAAAAACAACAATAACAACGACAAATTCCATGTAACAAAAGTTTTTAGCTCAAAAACAAATGCTTCGAATTTGTCTTCGATTAAAATTGAGGACATTGTTTAAAACACAAAAAAAAAAATCTTTCGCAAAAAAATGTGAAATTTAAGGGGAAACCCAAATAATATTTATATATAATAATAATAAAAATTAACTTTTGCCCAGCTTCAGTCATTTTCCAAGTCGTCATTTTCATCAGTGGCTACACTGCGAAAAGTAAGATAAACTAAGCATGTTTATGAATACATTCCTCAACTTACAATGGGCACTAAGGGGCCATTCTCTAAACACACTTTCCTCTTGACTTTGACAGCAAATGAGTTGACTTTTCGTGTTTTTTTTTTTGTTGGGCTTTTTAACACGCATGCGAGACTTGCGCCTCAAAATATGCAAAACACAAAAATCTGCAAGGGACGCTGGTTTCACACACATTTGCATAATTATAAGATAAATAACAAGAATTTTCAGCAAAAACAATGGAAGCCAGCCAGGAATGATGATGATGGGGCAGACTTCTAGACCTCAAAAAATTAAGAAGAAGAAAACCACCAACTCCAACTCGAATCTGAACTTTTATTTGATTTCTGACTGCCAACAAGAACAATATACACACAATTTATGCAAATATGAGTGGGCGTGGCTGTGGTTGCTTTATCTCACAATTGAATTAATAAACAATAAGAGTGAGAGATGCGACAGAGTGAGATAAAAACTCGGAGAGAGAGAGAGAGAGAGAGAAAGAGAGAGTGTGACAAGCGGATGTCGTGTGTGGCACACATATTTCACAAAAAAGTGCCAAACAGGAAAAGCACACGACGACATTTTGTAAAATTTATTGCAAAATGGCCGACAACGTTGACGGCGTGGACAACATTCTAGTGGCTAGGCAATTTGCGCAATGCCTTTTTCCATTCTGCCACACTGACATCCCCACATCCTGCACATCCTGCCAGCAGAGCATCCTGCTAGTTGGCAGTCAAGTTAAGTGCCCCCTTAAATGCAGATTCGAACTTTTGACTTCGAGCTGCATTAAAATTTGACACTTTGATTACCGCAGTCGCAGCGATCGAACAAGCGGGGTTGATAAATTAAAATGCCTTAGTTTTTAAATACCTTGTAATTTTACAATGGTAAATTGCAGAAGTGATGAAGTATTCATTAGAAATTGGGTATAATATTTAACATGTAGAAGTAAGCTTATACAATCGAATAAAATTTAGTATTTCAACTCGTTTATGAATCTCCCCATAAATTTCGAACTCGAATACTGATACTTTCAGCAGTCAATTCGAAAGACAGAATTACAAAAATAAATTCAAGAAACCTAATTATAATTTTGTAACTTTTTTAAGCAGAAATCTCTTAAGAAGACTCTTGATTAAATCATTATGTTTCTTTTAATATTTAATATTCTGCCAGGCTTCAAGCTTTATAGGGTATTTTCTAGCTAGTAACTTGTTACGTTTTAGTCAGAAAAATGCGGCTATAAACAGAAATTGAAACATCTGTGACATCTTCTGAATAAGGCTTACAAATTTTCAAGGAAATGTTGAAGCTGTTTAATTGAGTTCATTTGAATTTGATTGTCAGCCTGGCACACATTAAATGCCTTTTCCTTGTTTCATTTGACCTTATGAAATTTTAATGGCTCCCCCGCCGAAAAATGTTCAATATATTCCTTGCTTCAATTTGTACAGACTGCAAGAGTAACCAGTGGAGTCAATATAGAGAAAGACAGTGGGAGTTGTTGGTTGAGAGAGAGAGAGAGAGAGAGGCGGAAAGGGTTATTATGCAGGTGAATTTGGGTCAGTTGTGTGAGGCTTTGTTAAATGTGTTAATTAGAAGTGACAAGGAATCGAGAAAGGATTTTTAAGACTCTTGCAAATACGTGAATATTGAAATCTGACATGCAATTTGGGTTCGAATAAGTAATTGAGTACTTTCTGACGTTGACAAGGGTTTTGTAAAAAATAAATATGTGTGTTACAGTCTCATAAAATCAGAAAATAATACTTAAAAATAATAAAAACACATATGAAGTTATGTCTATGTTATGTTAGTCTAGCTTCCCAAATAAATTTTAGTTAGTATGCAGTATATAAAATGATTTAATTCAGCATTTTCACAGCTTCACAAAAATTCAGCACAGTTTATAGAACAACTTTTAATAAATAGCGCATGCAAAATGAAATGCCCGTTTCTATTGCCGGTCGTTTAAGTTCGAGGTAATCTAATTACCAATCAGCCAAGAATGCAAAATCGCTTTCCACGCCCACTTGCTCGTTGCACGCCCATAAACAACAACGATCTCAGTCCTTGCCACGCCCATTAATTAAACACAACACAATGCAAACAACAACAGGAGCAATAGGAAGGAAGGCGCAGAAGTTTAAGCTAACCAAATGCTCAATTAAGCATACGCGGTGTGGGCGTCTGTTTGAATGTCGACAATTAAATGCCGTGCCCCTCCAACTTTTTGCAAAATAAAATTAAAAACAATAAGTAACGTGACTCCACTTCTCCTCCCCTCGCT